GTCTGACACGCCTGCAGACATCACCTAATTTATGCACTCTTCTTCTTTCTTCGAACAAAGTCTTTTAAACTGAACTGTCAATAAATTACGTGTGAATGCTTGATAGTCCTGATAATGGCGTACACACAATCAACTTATTAAAATATATAAAACTCGAAGCACTATCACTTCTTGAAATTGCAATGGCGGCTGAACCTAACTCTGAGAACGTCGGGCATGCGCAAGGGCAGTTATTTTGGGCACGTCATATGAAGTACGTTCACAAAAATAACTCACATCCTCTATGTATTCAATTTACAAAGAAATGTAATATTAAAGAATATTATTGACAAAATTTTACAAACCTAAATTTATTATAGTGTCATATATTGAATTTGTAAGGTTGATGACTTGCAATCTTCGGTTATAGGACAGCCAACTATAACATGCTGGCTTATCTGTGGTACTAAATGTTGCAGATTAATCGAACATACCCATGTATGTTCCTTAGTTCATTCAGTTTCCGTTTCCTTGATAGGTGAGTTGGGTATAGAGGTTGGTGTTAATGTTGGTTGTTATTAATAATTGTAATTGATTCTAATATATATTTGTTGATCTCTTAAAGTGGTCACAAACGTATTAGCCTTTTTGCAGACTGCGCTAATAGGAAGATAAAAGATGGTCGCCCAAAAGAAGCAGGTTAGTGTTCTGCACGTGGCTTTCAAAATAGCGGTTTCGCATTATCTATCTGTTTAATAAACAGTATTATATTTCGTATTTCAGAAAAAAGCAATGGAGAGTATAAACTCCAGGTTAGCCCTGGTGATGAAGTCAGGAAAATATGTACTTGGCCTCAAACAGACTCTGAAGACATTGAGACAAGGCAAAGCCAAGCTTGTCATCATTGCTAACAACACTCCTCCACTGAGGTGAGACTGAGAAGTAGGCTTCCCAAAAAACATTTTTTACAACTAATTAACAAAGGGAATCCTATGGAGTAGTCTCGACCACATTTGTTGGTTGAAATAATTTGGCTGGCATTAGCAGAAAATATTGCAGATGTTGATCTAAGTAGAGTAATGAAGTTATCAGTAGCAGCAATGTAAGTGAGATAACTTTCATGGAAAGTTGTGTTTAATTGAAAAGTATTTCTTGAGTGTTAGCCATTGTATTAGTTGCCTCTAGGTTAGTCTGGGATACCCACTCGTTAATGCTTAATAATTTCAAACCATTCTTTCTCAGGAAATCAGAGATTGAATACTATGCAATGTTGGCAAAAACTGGAGTCCACCATTACTCTGGTAACAACATTGAACTTGGAACAGCTTGCGGGAAATATTTCCGTGTTTGTACACTGTCTATCACGGATCCTGGAGATTCAGATATCATTCGATCGATGCCAACTGGAGATGGACAGTAATTAAATTTCTTTGTTATGTATAATAATGCAAAATCTGAAATAAAGTTTTACTTTGATTTGTTTTGTTTTACTGCTTTTGTGATTTCTTACGTGGTGTTTGCCTCAACTGCATGCATGTCTGTCCATATTATAAGCACAGTAATTGTGAAAAATCTTAAAATTCTGACTAAATTTTATCTCCCCAGATTAGGAATCTGAACCAAATAAAAGTTATCCATCACAATTTATTTTGATCTGTATAGTTAAAAAGTTACCCTCTGCAAAAGTCTCTTCTCAAAAGGGGCTCATAAAGTATTTCCATGCAGTAAGAAATAATTTTTGTGTATAACTTTTTAAATTGAAGTATTTTTATGTGTACAGAGTATTAACAAAATTCAAGACCCTTTGTATTGTAAATCTCTTTACAGATGTTGATCACATTCAGTTTCTTTCAGTCTGTCTTCAGGCTTTAGATATATTGTTCAAGAGCCAACAAAGTGGATTTCCAGTTGAACAGTCTTAAAAGCTAATATGG